CCCCAAAACCCCAAAACCCCAAAACCCCAAAACCCCACAGTGTAAAATTGCAAGAAATCTTAGAGAACGAAATTGAAAACTTTTATTTAAAGTTGAAATAATCTAGAATAATTAAATTCACAATCGATCATTGCATCATAATTAATTTTTGAGAATTTTCGCTTCTACCCTAGCTGCCATAGATCCCTCTATATTATTATTACTAGTATTGATTTTGGAGAATATCTCTTCCCATCATATCCTATATATGAGGATTGGTACCAGAAAAATTATTTAATCTAGAGGGTTCCAGTGTATTAAAGCCTTAATTTTTATAGGTGCCGAGTCCTCCTGCCATGTGATGGCTGCTATTGTAAGCATTTTCATTATTTATCATACTATTACTAATATCTTAATTATTGTATCTTTATCCCATTGGAAGTCCATTCCCTCCCCTTAATAAATTATTCATTACTGGATTGTTTGTTGTTGAATGCGGGATTTATTTGCTATAAATTTCATTTGCTATATTTTGAGCTAAATTATTTATATCAAAACTTGAACTCACAGGCTACTTCATACCATAGTTATGACTATGGTTCAAGTTTAGACTCTATTGAGAATGATTCAGGTTTATATTTGCATGATTTCTATTCATAAATCCCTTTGATGAAGATCTTGGGTAATTTCTGAAAGAATTATTTCCCTCTGATTACGGTGACTATAAAATTTTAGGATGGAAGGTACAGCCTACTAATTCCATGTTTTCTTTTTCTTGAAGTTTTTCATATACCTTTTGATTGTATTCTTATTTCTTTCTTAATAAGATATCCGCTACATCTTCCTTTGGTCTTTTGGATGCAGCAATTTTCAATGAGTTAGGATTCAATTAGGGCTTGAATTAGAGATCTTATTAAATCTTACTCTTCTCAGACCATTTTTACTTGGTTTGCAATATAATATTTTTTTAGGGCAAAGGTACACTATCATAAAGTCTCCCTGCAGCATCAATAAATTCATCTTCATCTAAAGTTTGTCCTAGTTCTTCCATTTCACAAAATAGCGGCGTTAATACTTCAAGCAATTCTGGACTAAGCTTAGAAATGTCTATTCTATTAGCTGAAACCTATCCATCACCATCAGAGTCAAGTTACTTAAAGAGCTCACTGAATTTCTATAACTTCATCTTTTCAACTATCCTATTTGTATGATCTCTTGTAAACACTGTTTTGGCTTGATTATCTCTTTCTTCAATAGCTCTTTATTTCTTATCCTCTATTTTCTATCTTAAAGCTTTTGATTGATCATAAAGTGCCATACTTACTCCGCCTGGTTAATCTTTGGGATCTGGTCTATGTTATTTCCTAGGTCCTCTACCTACTTTAGGTTTAAAGAATGGTTATCCTGATTCAGGATCAAATAGATCATTATTCAGTGTGGTGTTATTCTTATTTTTTCTCATTGAATTATCTCTTGAATTGGCTCTATCAAAGTTACTCATTCCAGTTTTGTTTGGGTCTTTGCTTTCCATTCTTTGATAATAGTACTTTGTGACTTAAGTATCTGGTTAAAAGGTGCATTCAGATTCAACACATGCTGAGTATATTTTATCTTATCTTTCTTTTCTTCTTCTTGCATCTTCATACAAATTAGAGAATTTATCTTTTGAGCCATGACCATTTCTAGTTAATGATTCACCATTATTATTATATCTTTCAGATAGCAACTTTGCTGACTTTTTAGTAATCATCGGTCTAAACAAACATTCAGATTATTCTTACAGTAATAATTCTGTTCTTTTTTATTCAATCCTCTCTCTTGTCTGTTATCCATACTTAAGAAGATTATCTTCATTCCTGGGTAAACTCCTGCTAATATTATTTATTTATGGTTGATAGGTAAATTATTCTTATTCTTCCTATTCTTAATGATTTTTAGCTTCTCTAATGTGCCTCTCAATTTCTTCCTTTCTCTTGATACCTTTTTAATAGAGTCTTTCTCCATAATTTAGAATGGGTTTAGGTAATGGAGCAAATGTTCTTTCTGATGATTATTTAGTTGTAATGATACTCCCTCGAGCATTCTAAATGTTTCTGTGACTCAAATCATTATTTATCTATTTCAATTTTTAAAGTTAACCAATTGGATCTTAATAATTTCCTCTATTTGGAGAGTTTCTTCCTGATTGAGTGAATGATCTGTTAGTATTGCCTATTTGGTTTTGGAACTTTTAATTAATTAGCTTAGAACCTGAGTTGTTGTTTACAAAACTTCTATTTTTAGACATTTATTGCTGTTAATCAATCAATTGTTGTTGCTATCTCTATAATGATCTCTGTTTTGAAACAGCTTACTAATGCAATCTTGAATGGACTGAATTATTCTTTTACCCACTATTGTTGAATCTTTTACTTTCAATCATTCTCTTTGAATTATCATTGATCTTTGGCTAATTATTTTTATGGTCTATCAGTTACATCTTATTTTCAAGATTATTCCTCCATTATTAATAAACTTGCGAGCCAGGCTATTGAAATAATCTTTAACTTTAGCCACTACGGTCTGTTAAATAGCTTTAATTTATCATTCCACTGATTCCGTTTGGATTATTATACAATGCTGATCTATTATTATCTTCAACAATACTCTATGTTTTGTTTATTATACTATTATCTGTTTGAGGGTAGTTTTATTAGCTAAAAACGTTACTAATATTGTTGAGTTGGTTTGTATTCTAGTTGTGATATTCGTATGGTCTTTGATTACTCTAGTTTTAAAAAGAGCTGTTTAAATTGTTATTACTATTTTGCTGATGCATGAAGCTTCCTTCTGCTCTAATACCTGCTGTATCAAATGAGCCATTAGGATTACTATTTAGTGTTTAAGTAAAGCTCATTGGATCTTAATATTGCAAATCATAAACATGTTAGTCTTATTACTACTACTATTTTGATTCACTTAAATATTAGTTAAATTATTGTTGCCCAGATGATTAGTTTTAGTTATTGTAAGTTTGGGCATCTTCCTAAATTACTGAATCAATATTAACTCTAATTTACTCAGCAAGTAAGTCTCTTAATTATTCATTTATCCCATATTATTGTGCAAACTAAGAAGCCAAAATAAAAGGATCATCATTTTCCCTAATTAGAATGCTTTAAGAGGTGCCATCACCTATATCGACAGTAATAGTAAGCAGCTCTTTATTTTATGGCGCGAAATTATTGGTTTATTCTAACTAAGCTTTTAAGCTAGAGCTCATCATCGGCTAATAGTTATTTGTATTATTATTCATCATTCTAAAGTCTCCTCTGTTTAAGGTATTTTCTTAAGGTGTTTTTGCATTGCTTTGCATGTTAGAATTTATGCCTTGGACTGGCTAAACTTAACCTCCTCTATATTATGTAGGAGCTGAGACCTATCTCTAAGAATCAGCGAAAATTTCATCGAAAGTTTTTAATTCTTCTAGTTCTTTTTGAATATCCATAAACATTGATGGTCTTTGTTAATGCCCATTCTAAATGTTTGAAATTCTAGATTAATTATCTATCTAAGACTAAAATATATCATTTAAGTCAATTTAACTTACAATTGGATTATTTAACTGATTAGTAGGACCATCCATAGCGGTTCTAAAACTTGTGCGGCCAGTATTCTACTACAGTTGCTGTTGATTAAATCTACTCTAATCTTGAGAGATATAACTTGGTCTTTGCAAAGGCATATTTTGTTAATAATGTGAAATTGATGGGTTAGTTTAGTTGTTGCAAGAAAAATAAGTCTATGTGTCTGAATCTTGCTCAATTTATTGTCTCTAACTTTATTATCTAATAGTCATGTTGCTATTTTGATTATCTGGAAATTGATTCATTTATTATGACTGCATAGTCATATTTTCATTCATTCCGAGAGATTGGTAGAACATTTCCTATAATTATTCAATTGAGAAATTATCATACATAATTATGCTTATTTTAGGAATTTGCATCATCATAGTCTTATGGCACATGGATATTGTTGTTCTGTTGAGCTGAATATAGTTGATTTACAGAAGGTGGCTAGTAATTGTTGAATGAAACGTTGTTCTAGTAGGTTTAATTAGCAAGCGACTTCTGTGAGGGATTATTTTTCATGCTATTTGGCAATGGGGGCATCATTTATTTGTTTTTATTCAAATTCATATTTATTTTAATTTTAAATTTCGACTCTCAAGCTATCAATAATTTTTGCTTATGGGGTTTTGGGGTTTTGGGGTTTTGGGGTTTTGGGGTTTTGGGGTTTTG